AGCCTGCACTGACCCCCTGGAGCCTGCACTGACCCCCCCTGGAGCACGCACTGACCGCCTGAAGCCTGCACTGACCCCCCTGGAGCCCGCACTGATCACCTGGAGCCCGCACAGACCCCCCTGGAGCCCACACTGACCTCCTGGAGCCCCCACTGACCACCTGGAGCCCCACTGACCCCCTGGAGCCCCACTGACTCCCTGGAGCCTGCACTAACTGCCTGGAGCCGGCACTGACCACCTGGAGCCTGCACTGACCACCTGTCATGACCTTACCTGGCTATAAAAAAAATGCCCCCTTATTATCAACACATTGTACAAGTGTTTTGCTAAATTCCGTCCCCTGGAGGAGAGGACTCATAATGTGAAAAGGTGATAAGAGATGGGGGTGATGAGTTTTAGGTACAGGTGGTAAATGAGTGATCATGTTGGCTGAAGGGGGTGTTACAGTGGTGGGTGATATTAAGTCTGGAATAGTGGATAGAAGATTAAATCTCTGGTCAATGGCTCATATCTTGCCCAGTCGGCCCAGGTGTATCAAGCTACCATACTGCTTCACAGTACTGCTGGCCTTTACTCAATAGATGTTTCCTCCCTACAGCTTTAGAATGGAGGTGCAGCTTAGCATAGCTTGAAATTAATTTTGTTCTTAACCTGCACTCAGATTTTCCAGTATCAAAATTTGGAGGAAGAAAACACGCAATCTTATCAACACTTTCTTGGTGTGGAGGAAGTAACGTGTTCCTGGGATATGCATACACAGTGACCGGAGCTGTCATCATATTAACAGCCTTTGTCATGCTGGCTCTGCATTTGAAGAAAACACCAAAGAAGAAGAAGCCATTTTTTGCAAGATAGAACTGTGCAAAACAATCACAATGCCTTTTATTATAACTTGATGACAATTTCCATGTGCTTTACGGAAACCTACAGTGAGAGCAATACTGAGGCTGACCTCCTTCTGAAAATAGTAATTGCCTGGCTATCTGTGGCTTTAATGCATTTCCATTGCTTGAGGTTTTCCTAACCAATGTGAAGGCAGAAATCCTGATCTCTCTACTCTATCTCAATATGTCACTCAATGTATTGAAACCACAGCATGAACATGAAAGCCAGGCAACTTGTATTTTCAGAAGAAAGGTAAGTAATGCAGCCTCCTTATGTCTCTCATTACGCCATCTAAAGTTAATTGAAGGTGGACACCAGAAGGGTTAATACTACTCCAGCTTCGTATATTTTTTAGAGACTAAATTGCTGAGATGTGCCCAAAGTGGTTTGTGCTTGCACCCCGTTAATGAGGCCATATGGAATTCTCTGATCAGGTTACATTATGGAGAATCCATTAAAGAGGTATGTCCCCAAGAGATGTAAGAAGCCAGAATGTGGTTCATTTTGCCCAAACCACCTAAAACTGAAATGGCATATTTGTGTTGGGATTTGCCCTCCAGCATCATTTTCTGAATATAATGAATAATAAGCCTTGAGATCTGCCATAGATAGTGCAGGTTAAATCTACAGCATGGGTGTATTGTGAGAATGAGATTCTGTACATTAGAGTTTGAGATATATAATTTATAGTTTATAAAGGGTTGTCTACAGAAAAACAATGACTGTTATCTAAAGCTTTTTTGTTTTTTTTTCATTAAAATAACGAAATAACATTTAAAATGAATTTTCCTCTGGTAGACCCAACGAGGAGGTAAGTGCCAGAAATGTTATGTAGAAGCAGGGCAGCCATCAGGGGGGGTACAGCCGATACTCATGTAAGGGGCCCGGGCAGCCTGGGGGGCAATTACAGCCAACCTGTTTCAGGAGATCAGTGGTTGCCTCTAAATCAGGGTTACAAGAAGAGAACATAAAAGGTGCAACAAATATATTATCCAAATTGTAAGTTATCTATCCAGTTGGTGTGCAATTATTGTAATGAATGGAGGGACAAATATGGAAAGTGAATAAATAAAGTACTCAGCTGAAAAGTCACAACATCTCAATCATACTGGAATTATTCTTATTAAATTAGAACATTCTCATACAAGTGTGCTGTGCACCGCTCTTCTGTTGGGCCGCACTAGACTGGTGGCAATGGGGCAGCTGCCCCTTTTGCTAATTGCTAATTGAGCCCTAATGTGCCCCTCCTAGATATCCTCATTTCATTAGATCTTTACATTTGGTAATCGGATGGCTCATGGGGTAATAATCAAGCAGGAGAGGTAAAAGAACCACTGATCCACAGTATGAATGAAGCAGGAGCATGTCTTTGCACTGCAGGTACAGCCAGGTACAGCTTCTTCTCCAGGGAGAACTTCGAGCATTACTGTAGTGACACCACCAACTCGCTGATCAAATCTCATGAGACAAGCAGCCATAGGCAATAGTCCCATAGATGATCTCACACTGTAGATATAAAGCTATTAGGCTTCAGGAGTGACTAGGCACAAAGTGCAGGAACTCAAGGCAAACGTTTTTTGTTTTTTTTGTGGGTACTTCTTAAACACAATTAACATTTCTATATGATCCCTATAACATAGCGAATCTTAATTTTTTTACGATCACCTTTGGTAAATACATATATAGTGCATATCATAAAGATGGTGAAAAGTTGTTTACATGTTTAACCCCTTCGTGACTGACGACGTACAGTGTACGTCGCCAGCATACTCAAGACAAGAGGTATTCTTTGCACCTGGCAGAAAAGAGGTTTATTTTTGTACGATATATACGAGTTCTTTTCAGATATCTTCAAGCAAGGGCTGGATATGTTTCCAAATGCATTAATATTTATTAAAAAAATGTTGATCTCAGTAGAAGTGCCGTTGATAGAGGGGTACAGGCAGCCCTACTTAACCTGGTCCAGGCCCCATCAGGTCAGCAGGGGGGCCCAGGTTCTGCAGGAAGGCTGTAGGCATGATTCGAATGACATGCAGCCTGTAAACCTCCTCCTGCCAGGCCAAGTTTTGCATGATTCCCAGAGAAGAACAGGTGTTGCCAGGATGAACCCTGCTCGGAGTTCAGGGGAAGCCTCTATCTCTCCGGGCCTAAGCCGCAGTAATAGTTGCTGCTGTACTTTGCAGCTGAGCGGGATGGGCAGAGGGAGATGAGGCAGTGAGACCTGGCACAGGAGTAATATGGGGAGGTTTCTGAAGATCTGAGGAGAGGAAGCTGGCAAAGCCATGTCACACCCTAACTCATGGTAACCAGTTCTTAGGAGCTGACACTTCAACATGGGCATGAAGGCTGAGGAACAGAATGTAGTCAGTGTCGTCTATGGGGTGCGTGACAGCTGGGCTTGCCAAAGTGCTCTTGGGGACACTGACTACATCAGGGAAAGCATGTGGCTGTACAGAAAATGTGGCATTGGATGTCAGTCTGCCCTGCAAACCATTCCAGTGGAGTAAAGACAAAGAAGAACAGATCATTTTTTTAAAGCGGTGGAGGGGGTGAGTCTATAGCAGCAAGATCAGATCTGTACATTGGATATAGGTGTAGCTGGCTGGCACTCTGTACAGACATAGCACCATTTAGTGTACAGCTTGGGCCCTGTCAAGTAGGCTGTTCCAGGACCCATGATTTATAATGACTGCCCTGACAGGGAGTATTTGATTGCCTTTGGGGATCAGGAAGGAATTTTGTTTCCCTTTTAGCTTAAATTGGACAACACTTTCTATGTCTTTTTCCCTTCCTCTGGATCAGCTGCGGTTTTAGGGTTTTGAGGATGCAAGGTGTTTTTATTTGATTTATTTCTGTATAATTTTATTTATTAATTTATTTATTTTGTTGTGGACATGTTGTATTTTTATTCCAATATAAAATGCCCCTTTTACGGACCTTCTTTATAGACAAAATCAAATTGCATGGCCAAATGGCCTCTGACATCATTGCAAACCAATAGGAGTGGATGAGTAATTGGCGTGTAGCATACACTGCCCTGGCAGAGAACCAGGTGTCATTTATCATAACTAATTAACCTTTACAACTAAGCAGATCCTGGGGATGGCACAATTGTTTTCTTAACAGAACATACGATTGCCTTTGACAGGAGAGCTTTGTGTTGCACACTTTATTACCGGTTTATGATGTGTACAGATTGTAACAGCTGTGCGTTGCCCTGGGTTTAGAGATTATTATTGAATTTTGACCCATGTTGGGTTTTTTTCATGCTGGTAACTGTGTACTACCAGGCCACCATCAACATACAGCAGCACTGTTTGTATTGTGATATTCTTTGGAAGGAAACGGGTGATAAACATTTGCACCTATTAATTCCGTGTTCAATGCAGGAAAATTCTGAGCCAGCTTGATACTAGCTGTGATATTTTTTTTATAACATATTTAGAAATTATTTTGCTGTATAAGTGTCTTGCAAGAGTCAGCAAACTCAGCACAGTTCATGTTAAAAAAAAAAAAAAATTGAGGAAAAAGCATTCCTCTCTAGTAAAACAAAATGTATTGCAAGGAATTTAGAACATTTTTGCTGATTCATATTGTTCACTCTTTTAAAAAAATAACTGTTTCACCATGTCTTTTCTCAAAATGTATGTATGAGATACTCTGCGCTCAAGAGTTTTCCTCAAATCGCCTGCCCTGCGTAATTAAATGAAATTAACTTAAAGAAGCTATGCTGTATCCTATGGGATATACAACCAATAATCAATAAATATGCACAGTGTTTAAAGTACCAACCAATAATCAATATGTGTAAAAATCAACAATAATTCATATAGGTGATATTAAAAACAATAATTATGTTAAAGAAAAAATAGGTGAGATATCCTGAATAAGCTATAAATTAAATAAATACATATGTATATAAACTTTAACAAGAACTAAAGTGCAATCCAAGCAGATTGTGAATTACATTTGCACTTCAGTTCTTTTTGCAGTTTATATACCTTTGAATATATTTAACCACCTTGCTATGTCATATTGTAAAACAATTTCAGGGAGGTGGACGTCCATTTCTGGAAGGACGTCTATAGATGTCATTCTACTAATGGTCACTGGGCGCCACTGCACCCGCTAGTCTCTGTGTACAGACCTGTCCTCTGACAGTTCAGGACATGAGGACACTGTACAGAGTTGCTGCGGCTTATCACAGCGATCAATCACTTTACTGTTTGCACTGACAATCTCTCCCCTTCCTCTTACTACACATGAAGGAGAGAAATACCAGTAATCACATTTTCTATAACGCTCAGCTTGATCTAGTGACCACAATATGGGATTTTTCCCCATTCACTCTGCTCTGTATGAATATGTATATATTGAAGAACATTAAGGCCCCATTCACACTGAGCGATTTATCGAGCGATTTTGCAGTGATATCGCTCATATTTCCACGCGATATCGCTCTATGTAGCTTCTCCAATCCATTTCAATGGAGCTGTTCACATCTCGTCGCTCAATATCGCTCAATATCGCTTGTAGCTCGTCGCTGGTAGCTTGTCACTCCTACATGACCCTTTTTTCGAGCGATTTTGAGCGATATTGCTCCTGATTGCATACAGCCCAATAGGCTCAATATCGCTCGTCGCACAATATTGCTCAAAATCGCGCGATTTTCATGTCGCTCAGTGTGAATGGCGCCTAAATCGGAAGAGAAATTACACTAAGAACATTCGTTTTTGCTCCATTCTCACAACAGCTGGTTAACCTGCACAGAATAAATGTACCTGCAATTTCGCCGGACAAATAAGCAATACAAGTGTTTTGTTGTAGTAATCGATTATGTATAGAGTAACTAGTAACATTTTAAATTGTCACATAACCAGAAAGTAGTTGCAAGTTGCATTCTATGTGTTTTTAAAGTGTTGCAACAAATGTTGACCAATGGGAAAACACTGTGACAATGCCAAGCCAATCATTCTCCTTTCTCTTCTTCTCCACAG